GGTGGGCTGGAAGTGCCACGAGAATGGCTTCTCAGGGGATATTTCAATTCTGTCAAGAACACACAGGCACCAACAATTACAAAACCCACAACAGGATAATAGTGTGACTTGCACCAGCCTTTTCCATTTGAGGATCTCAAAGCACTTTTTGGCAAGGAAGCTTGGGCTGGTGGATAGTGCCCAGGGTTTGTACTCAAGAGGTCTGGGTTTACATCCCAGACTCCCTGAGTGGCCTTAGGTAAGTCACTTAGAATAGGCTTTTCAAAGGGATTTAAAGAAAAAAGTAGCCCCACTCCCACTGAAAATCAATGGTGTTTAGCTGCCTAACTCCCACTGAAAATTCCAACCATAAGGTCTCGGTACCACAACATGGCAACAATAATACTTCTTCTCTTAGGGGGCAAAGTGCTGTCTCTCACTATGTACAGTGCCCAGCACAATTGGGCCCTGAACTTATCCTGAGCCTTGAGGTGCTACTGTAATATAAACCATTATTATGAATAATAACTTTACAAATATTTATTAACCTTGTGACAGCTTAGTTCCCCAATCTATAAAATGGGGAAAACAGAGGCATGGTGAGGTTAAAGGAAAAATACGTTAGGTTTGTACTTGCTTTTTACTTCTTTGCTTCTTTATAAAGAAGCCTGGAAGGCTCCCTAAAAAGGGGAGAGCAGTTGCTTTGTTTTTTACATTTCCCTGTTTTTCCTGGAAGTCTCCATGGATGACTAGAGAACTGGTGGTGACAAGGGAGAGAAATCTGATTATCAGAAAAGACAGAAGTGTTGAATAAATATTTCTGTTCTGTATTTGGGAAAAGAAAGAGATGATGTAGCTGAATCACATGATAACACTCTTTCCATTCCACTGGTATCTCATAAGGATGCTAAACAACAGCTATTAAAATTAGACATTTTTAAATCCCCAGGCCCGGATAACTTGCATCCAAGAATTTTAAAAGAGCTGGCTGAGGAGCTTGCAGGACCGTTAGTGTTGATTTTCAATAAGTTTTGGGGAAGTTCCAGAAGATGGGAAGAGAGCCTTAACATTGTGCCAATTTTTAAAAAGGGTAAACGGGATGACCTGGATAATTATAGGCATATCAGCATGACGTAGATCCTGGGCAAGATAATGAAGTCGCTGATATGAGACTCGATTAATAAAAAATTAAAGGAGGGTAATCTATTAATGCAAATATCTCCTTTGGATGAGATTACAAGTTTGGTTGATCTCATATATGAGAGTTCTGTAAGGCATTTGGCGTGGTACCACACAACGACTAAAAAGATATAAAATTAATATGAGACGAGGTGGGTGAGGGAATCTCTTATTGGGCTTCAGTTGGTCTCACCAATAAAAGATATTATTTCATCCATCTTGTCTCTCTAAAATCCTGGGACTGACATGACTACAACAACGCTGCATACATAAAATTAACATGGCACATGTTGAATAGGTTAAAAGCTGGCTAACTGATAGGTCTCAAAATGTAACTGCAAACGGTGAATGATTGTTGAACAGATGTGTTTCTAGTGGGGCCCCTCAGCGATTGGTTCTTTTCCCTATGTAGTTTAACACTTTTTTATCAATGACCTGGAAGAAAACATAAAATCATCACTGATCATGTTTGCAGATGACACAAAAATCGGGGGAGGGGTAAATAAGGAAGTGGACAGGTCACTGATACAGAGCGACCTGGATTGTTTGGTAAGCTGGGAACAAACAAGCAAACAATATGAATTTTAATATGGCTAAATGTAAATGTATCAGTCTAGGAACAAAGAATGTAGGCCATAGATATAGGATAGGGGGCTCTACCCTGGGAGGCAGTGACTGAAAAAGCTTTGGGGGTCGTGGTGAACATGAGAGCCCAGTGTAATGCTGTGGCCGAAAGTGCTAATGCCATCCTGGGATGCACAAACAGGGGAATCTCAAGTAGGAGCAGAGAGGTTATTTCACCTCTCTGAATGGCACCGCTGGGATCCTGTGTCCAGGTCTGGTGCCCACAATTCAAGAAGGATGTTGATAAATTGGAAACAGTTCAGAGAAGAGCCGCGAGAATGATGAAAGGATTAGAAAACCTGCCTAATAGTGATCGACTCAAAGAGCTCAATCTGTTTAGCTTAACAAAGAGAAGGTTAAGGGCTGAATTGATGACAGTTTATAAGCACCTGCATGGGGGGAAAATACTTAATAATGGGCTCTTCAATCTAGCAGAGAAAGGTCTAACATGATCCGATGGCTGGAAGTTGAAGGTAGACAAATTCAGGCTGGAGATAAGGCATTACTTTCTCTCAGTGTTAAAAATGTATCATTGGAATAACTTACCAAGGGTCATGGTGGATTCTTCATCAGACAATTTTTAAATAAAGATTGGATATTTTTCTAGAAGATCTGCTCTAGAAATTATTTTGAGAAGTTCTCTAGCCTCTAGTTATATAGGAGGTCTGACTAGATTATCACAGTGGCCCATCTGTCCTTGGAATCTATGAATTACAAGTGAGAGAAGGAGCGATTTTATTCAGACTGCTTAACATTGTGCTTTTAGTGATACATATTTACCTCAAGTATCAGAGGGGTAGCCATGTTAGTCTGTATCTGTAAAAAGCAACAGAGAGTCCTGTGGCACCTTTACGACTAACAGATGTATTGGAGCGTAAGCGTTCGTGGGTGAATACCCACTTCTTCAGACGCATGTAATCATGCATGTTTACCTCAAACACCTAAGAAACAGTTGGGAGAAAACTCTTGTGAAAGATTCAGAATTAAGGGCTGAGAGCGCTTCCAGTCGAATCGCTGAGTACTCCAAGGAGACTCCCAGCAAAACTTGGCATTTCTGATACTTCTCATGTAAAGAATTGGGTTGGAAATGAAATTTTTTCCCGTGAAAATTTTTGACTAAACCATTTGCTGTCACACATTTTTCCGAAAATTTTTCAGTTTCAATCAAAAAGCCATTTTTCTGTGAAACAATCTTTGTAAACTAAAATTTGTTGATGAGTTCTAATAAAACAAAAGAAAGTAGAATTGGGGGGAAATAATTTAAAAAACCCACTGTTAGATCAAAGCCCCTCACAAAAAACATAAAAGGCTGAAACTCATTTTTCCTTTTTGGAGGTTACCTTTAACTGACTTATCCAAGACCACATAGTGAGTCACTGGCCGTGCCAGGAGTCAATGACCGCCTTATTCAGGAGGTCAGACAAAATGCTCTAGAATAGATAATGGGCCCTTCTGGGCTTGTAATCTAGAAGTAAACCGTGCCCTGTGCCCCATCGCTGTGCTAGAACCTCTAACCCAGTTCTTCTCTCTGTAAAGTAACCAGACTTTTGTGAACTTCTGTAGTAAGGGTTTGTGGTTTGATAGGCTGTCTCTGCAGTGGTTCCGCCGTGCCTGCTCCGAAGCTGTTGGCTCCCCTGGGGACAGATGATTAGTCAGGGATGGTTTCTGGGGTGTCCCTTCCGAGGGTTGTGGTGGCAAACTGCTCCAGACACGAAAAGGGCTCCTGTTCTGATAATATAGTGAAGTGTCCCCAGTGGGGTGAATCTTACTGGAATCTTACTCCAGGAACCGCCTAGAATGCACGTGCCTTAACCAATGCACCATGTTAGCATTTCCCCTCCCAGTGGGTTGTTTTAGGCCTTGTCTACACATAAAACTTAGGTCGACCTAGCTGTGTCTCTCAGGGCTGTGAAATAGTTCATGCCCTGATGTAGTTCATAGAATCATAGAAGATTAGGGTTGGAAGGGGCCTCAGGAGGTCATCTAGTCCAACCCCCTGCTCAAAGGAGGACCAACACCAACTCAATCAACTAAGTTCACCTAACCCCCAGTGTAGACACAGCTAGGTCAATGGAAGGATTCTGCTGTCAACCTAGCTAGCTACTGCCTCGCAGAGAGGTAGATTAACTACATCAACACTGATGTAGGAAGTGTTTACGTTATGGTGCTACAGGCGCACAGCTGGAGCACTGTAGCTCTGCCATTGTAGCAGCTGTAGTGTAGGCACACCCTTAGCTTTCCCATTGCATTTTTATTATTGTTGTGTTGGTGGCTGCCAGGAAGCATGTCTTTGATCCGTGGGCAATCACGGACCTCCTTGAAGCCAATGGGCATGTAGCTACCTTCTGTTCAGGCTAACAGAGGGAGCAATTAAATATCCTTTGTTTAGTGATAGCTGAAGCAATAGAAGCCACTGCTTAAGGCATTGACCAGCATGGCAAGGCCTGAGCTAAGCCACACAGCTGAGGGGTTTCCCTGAAGACTGATTGCAAGCACAGGGGCTGGGACATTGATGTTGGTTACAGCTGCATGTATGTGAAAGGAATGAGAAAGCAGGGAGAAGGTGAGCAGACGGCGAGCGGCACAATAGGAGTGTGGCCCTGGGAGAAAGCTGAGAGAGAGGACAGCTTTTGGGCAGAGTGCTGGCTGGAGGGGCAGGTGTGGAAATTCTGAGCAAGGAACATTGCCTGCTGCTGTTTGTTCCTGCAGTGTTCAGGAGAACAGGGCTCTGTGCATTCTTAGTAAGCAAACAGGATTGCACTAAAGAGTATAACTGACTCGTAGCATCAGTTTTTCCTCTTATTGGAAACAACCCTTACCCAACAAGGCCTCAGGTGCTGGCTAATGGCTCAGACCAAAGGGAAACCATTATAATAAGGAAGATGATGTCTAATCTCCATCTAAAGCAGCTGCAGTTTGGGAGAAAATCCCCCATCCAGCCCCTGCACACACGACGAGGCTCTGCTCTCCTCCTCTCCTTCCTGGGCTGGATATATTTTTGTGGGGGCCTTTGGTGAGGTTATACTTGGGAGCCCCTTCCCCTCTTGCTAAGACCAGGCACAGGTAGCAGAGCACAGCTCAGTAAAGGTGAATAGCAGCAGACTCCACAGTTCCATGGTAAATGGGGGATCATGACGCCCCTGTCAGCTTTTGCCTCTCTCCTTCCCCACCCCCACCCTGTCTCTGCCCACAGAAGCGCTTGCCGGAGGGGAGTCAGGGCTTTGCAGAAGTGCCACAGTGCAGTGGATTATGGGAGGAGACTCTCAGGTGGCTTCTCCTGCCCAGGCTCTGGCAGGAGAAGGGGAGATTGGGTTGGGTGGGAGCTAAGGGGGCAGCTGACTGTGCCATTCCTGGTCCCTTTTCCCTGCGGATGGGTGCGTGGGTCTGCACTGGATGTTTCCACCCCCTACAATGTCTCACCATTGCTGCCAGTGTCTCAGCCCACCAATGGTGGCCACAGCGCAGGTAGGGCTTTCCGGCCCACCGACATTTTACCCTAACAGAGAAGGTCTACGCAACACGGTGATAAGGTCTTTTCTGCACTAGGGCTCCTGCAGTTGGCTTTTGGCTCCCCCTGGAGGCAGCCCTGGGTGGGAAGAGTGGCGCAAAAAAAATCCCATTGCAGAGCAAGCTTGAGGGATTCTGGAAGGAGGGACTGAGAGTTGGAATAAGAGATTTCCAGCCTCCGCAGAAATCTCGTGGGGGCTGGCTCCAACATCTCAGCGCCAAGACAAGGAGGAAGATGGCCGCTGTGCTCCTCAGTTCTCATCAGCCCTGGGATCCTGTCTGAGGTGCCAGCAGCTGGGTGTGGTGTGCAGGGAGGCTGAAGGGAAAGGAAAAGCACAGGCTGGGAGCTCTCTCTACCCCTTGTGGAAAGTTGGCTTCAAAGAGCTGCCAACCACCTGCTGGGTGGGTTGTGTCCTCAGCCCAGCTGCTTCCAGGGTGATCACGTGGTCCAGTTAAGCAGGCTGGCTGGCTCTTTGGATTTCATTCTCAGCGTGACCAGGCCCGGGGACTTGTAGTTGTTGTCCGGCGGGGGCTCAAAGCTGTGGCTGCCGAGGGAAGAGGGGAAGCCGTGGATGGAGTACAGGTTGTTGATCCCGGGGTGATGGTTGGGAGAACCAGGGATGCCCATGAATCCGGCAATGTTCCCATGGGAATGCGGGTATGGAGACACACAGGGGGAAGGGATGCTCTCGGGGGGCATGAGGCAGGGGCCTGCAGGGCTCCCCGATCCTGTGCTCGGCCACAGGTTATTCTGCAGCTGAAACAAGGGAAAACAGACAGATGAGGCTGGGTTAGCAGCTACTGGTCAGGAGGGCGCGCTGTCCTTCCTGCATTCCTGCTGCAGGGAGTGGCATGCAGCTGAGTGCAAATCAGAATTTCCATCCCGGGGCGGGGGAATTCCTCTGTTCAACATCCCAGTTTAATCTTGAACTGACCCCAAACGAAATGTTCTATTTCCGTTTTCCTAACGACCATTGAAATTTCGAGTCGGAAGTGTCAAAATGAGTCCATTCAACATTAAACTGTATTCCCATGTGGGGTGCATTGCCTCTTGGGCTTTGCTATTTGGGTCTGAGGATGACCCCGGTCTCTCCTGGATGGACTACATTTCACATGATACCACTCCACCAGTGGGGAGAAAGTGTGGTATCATGGGAGATTGTGCAGGGGTGTATACCCCCTCCTGGCTTTAAAAGGGTTAATGTGGGCCTCAAAGGCCAATTAACCCATCTGGCTGCACCTGCAGGGTGGGCTGGGCCTTATTTAAGATGAAGCCCAGCTGGGGATGGAGCTGGGTGGTAACTAAAGAGAGGAAGCCCAGATCAGAAGGGGCAGCAGGGTGAGAGGGAAGAACTGTGCGGTCACTCCCTGGGATTCGAGTGGGGAGAGACTGGAGAGTCAAGAAGGAAGCCCAGAGGGGAAGAGTTGGCCCTGGGATCCCCTCCTGTTAGGAGGCCGAGAGATATATGGAGCAGGCACAAGGGTGTAGCAGGCTCTGGTGATGAGCCCTGATAAAGGGGCAGGAGATCTGGACTTCCAGGGGTTGAGCCCAGGGAGGCATTCCGCTGAGGAACTGAGCAAGGGAAACTTAGGAGGGATGGAAGGTCAAGCCCAAGGAGGGCAGAATTTGATTTAAGTTTGGGATTTATTGGGGGATTCCTGAGGAGAAGCCTGCCCTGAATGAAGGGTGACTTTAGAGAGGCTGTGGGAGAGGCCAGCTGACAGGCTACAGTAGGATGAACTCCAGAAGGCAGCAGCAAGGAGTCTGAAGGAGCAGACCTTGGCTGCTGGGATAGGGTCCCTGGACGGGAACCCAGCATAGAAAGTGGGCCTGGGCTTCCCCCACCAGTCACTGGGGAAGGTAGGGAAGCCCCTGAGAAGGGGATATAGATTCCTGGAAGCCCTGAGAAAAGGGTGTATTACACCACGTGGCCCAGAGTTGGGGGCCAAAGGCCTTTTGTAATGACATTGGACTGTCCTGTGTTGAATTTTCTGTTCCCCTGGAAAGGGTGGAATTAAAATGTGACCTGGCTGGAGGGAAACTGCTGCGAGAAGACAGACCCTGCAGGACTGAAGTGACTCTCGGCAGAGGCGCTAGAGGGAAAAACACTGCTACACCATGCCCAGCCACGAGGGGGCGCTCCAGGAGTGAGTTGACCCTTCTACAGAGATGTCATCTGGCCAGGAAACCTGGCCCGTAGGAGAGCATGGGGGTATCAGGCCTTCTAACTACAACTCCCATGAGGCAATGCCCCACAATAGGGAAATGCTGCTTCATGTTGAATTGACCCCAAATAATTTGTCTCCATTTTTCTTAACCAAAAAATCCAAAAATTTCAGCAAAAAACAAAATGTCCCTGAGGAAAATGTCAATGTTGTGGAAACGGCATTTTCCATCGATAAATTGTTCAGAGGGAAAAGGGGCTGTCCATAAATCACACAGTAAGGGGTGGATGGGTCCTTAATTTTCCTCATTTGTTTCAGTTTTGCAAAATGTTACAAGGGCTGGGTGGGTCTCGAAAATCCCCAAAAAAGGTATTACGTAATTTATGGACGTAGTTGAGGTCTGGTGTTCCCGGGGCATAGGAGAGCCCCAGGGATAACAGCTGCGAGGAGCGGTGGGTTCCTTGCTACATAACTCCCAGTGCCAGAGCTGCACATTCTTCTGCCCTGGAACATAAGACCCGAACCTGTGAGTGCCCTTAACTCCCACCAACTTTGTGTGATCAGGCACCTAATGAGAGGGCAGAGAGCAGAAATCTTAAAGGATCCACTAATTACTGAGTGAAATTAAATGGTAGAAATGGTCTTAAGCGGCCAAGTACTCAGACAGCACCGTCTTTCCAATGCCCCAGAGTTCCGGTGTGTTTGGATACATGCATTTGGCACTAGAAAGCTAGGGGGTCACTAGTGAAATTGATCATGCCCACGCTGTCTGGGGCTCCAGAGAAAAATGACCACACTCCCAAAGTCCTGCTCCAGCATGCACAGGGGTTAGTGTAAAATCTGGGATGGAATTTCTGAGAGGGGCCAGACTTCCCTTTAGTTGACTCTGGCCAGGAGCACTGGGGGACAAGGGAAGTGTCCCCAGGGCTTTAGAAAATAGAGCTATGCCAGTAACTGATTCTTTGTTGTGGTTGTTACTGGTTAGTTGCCTGAACTGAAAAACAAAACTAAAAAATCGTTTGGGGTCAAAGGAAACATTTTGTTTCATTTCGAGGTTGTTGGTTTTTTACCTTTTAAAATAATGAATACAACTAAAATTCAAAACAAAAAGTCATTTTGCATCAAAGAAATTTCATTTTAAAAATGTTGAAATGAAACGTTCTGACTTTTTCTGAAGGGTTTGTTTGTTTTTTCTGACTGAAACAATTCGGTGAATTCGATACAAAATGATTCGGTCCACCTGAATCTGCATTTTTCAGCAAAAAAATGTTTAGTCTGGAAAAATTTCTCCCAGCTCTCTTAGAAATATGAAGGGTGAATGTGAAGGCAGCACCAAATCGGGTATTCTACTGTGTTTATCTCTGGTCTGTGGGGCCAGGTGCTTAGGGGGTTATTGGGGCAGTGTGAGATTCCCTGGTGAAGCGATGCAAAAGGCTTGGAAATGGGGCATAATATGCTGTAGCTCTGATCTGCTGCATTATTCTCCCTTGTCTTCTCATTTACATGGTGCCAATCTGAAGTAACTGCATTGATTTGAGTGGAGCTAATCTAGATTTACGCCCATGGATGTGAAATCCTAATTTGGCCCAACATGTTCTGATGGGGGTGAGGTCTGGCCACTGTTCCTGATTCTGTCTCAGTACCTGAGGGTAGTTTTCAGCCCTGGGCAGGACAGAGATGTCGTAGGTGGCTGCAAAGGGATTTCTCGACTCCTGGATTTTCCCATAACGTTCCCGTTTCCGCCACTTTGCTCTCCGGTTCTGGAACCAAACCTGGGGGAACAGTGCAAATCCCAGGTGACCTGAGACTGTCAGTCAACACAGAGATGCTGAAACAGCCAAGGGTCAGACCCAGCAGGGACCCAACTGAAAGTGATCAAGTTTAGACCTACCAAGACCTTACAGGGGGCAGGAGACTGGAGACATCCAAGGGATATGGGGCTTATGTTGACGTGTGGCTGGGCCTTACAGGGCACTGCAGTGTCTGAGGGTTCCACTGGCATATGGGGTATGGTGTAGCAGACTCTGCCACTTTATTAGCACAAAGTTTCCTTTGGCTAGTAAGTGGGTTTAGAGGACCCTGCAGTGGAATTTGGGGTACTCACATGCATTGGTTCCTATCTGAGTTATAAATGGGTCCATATGGTACATGTGATTTTAGCAAGGGGATGAAGGCCCTGGCAGGGTGAGCACTGGGCAAGCTTCCATCTGCCAGTGCACCTTGGTCCTCGCCTGGCACTGCGACTGCCCCATCCCTATTGCTCTCATTTATGGAGACCATTCGGCGCTCGAGATTCTGTGGTGGTCTCCTGGGTTCATTTCTGGTCCCCACTCGGGGTTGGTACAACACCACTAAACACGTTTCCACTCGTGGCCTGACGAAAGGATTAAGCCCAAATCTTACCTTAGCCCAGATGAAACCAGCTAGCCCCAGAAAGTTACCTTCCATTGTGGTGTTGGTGATGGGGAGCACAAGCCCCACACCAGGCAAGAAGGGGTTTAAGGAGCAGCTTTGGGCTCAGCCAAGCCAACCATGGAGGAGAGGAGCCTTACAAGGGAAAAGCCCAGTTGAGAAGGGCCAAGCTCAGGGAGGTGAATGGATCTCTCCCCACTAGCTCCCTGCAAGAAGCACCGCGGAGCCAAAGCTGGCAGAGGGTTACTGCAAACGCTGCCCGGAGGATGCTGAGCAAGGCTATGGCTCATCCAGTATCCCCCCAGAGGAGGGAGACCAGAGATGTGTTTGGGCTATTTTTGCATTATGTCTGTCTTATGTTACTGTTCTTCCCAGGGCTGGGGGGAAAGGCCTAGACACGGGCCACAGTAGGAAGAAGTCTGAGGAAGAAGGAAGAGGTCAGAAGAAGCCGATCATAGTCATCTGCTACAGAGGCCTGGGCTGGAACCCAGGCTAGAGGTAGGGGAATCCAGTCTCTATAGGTCACCATGGAAAGGCCTGGTGAAGGCCCTGGGCAAGGGAAATAGTGGGCCTAGAGTCGGGCTGGAGCCCTGGCACAAGGCAGCTGGACTGTTATTGGACCGGTCTCCCCCTTAACTCAGAAGGCATGAGACTAGAAATTGATCTGGCTGGAGGGCTGAGTCACGGGACCAAGGGCCACCGGCAGACCTGAATGGCTGGTCAGTGAGGCTACAGAGAGGGAAAACCCAGCAACATCAGATCCAGACACAAGGCAACGCACTGTGAGCAGCGGTTTGATACCGAGGCATGGAGCCCCCCGTCTCGTGGCCAGCAGATCTGATGCTGTGCAGGTCGGCAGTGTCTGAAAGCCTTTACCACGACGTGTCTGGTGGCTGTCGGTCCAGTTCCTAGCTGATAGGCTTCTACAGCACACAAGGAGCCCTAGTGATACTATCGCTGTCTCGTCCCCTTGTTGGCAGTCTCAGAGTTGCCCAGGATTGAATGGACCATGGAGAGACAACAGCAGAAGGGTTGGTCCCTCCAGTTCATGGCTGAGGCTCATCTGTCAGATGGAGTTTGAAGCAAGCTTATGCTTGATGTACTTGCTCTCTGGATAACAAAAGGACTTCAGTCTCCAGGGCTGTCTGCCTTTTAACTGGCACTGAATTCACCTTAAGAAACAACAGCAGAAAGGGGAAAGACCTCCTTTCTCTCCCATAACATACAGAGCACAGGTTGCTGGGGCGACTACTTATTTTTATATCCTCATTACAGCCTTGTCTACGCCTACACATTAAGTTCACCTAGCTCCATCGCTCAGGGCTGGGGAAAAATGTCACCCCTGACATGACATAGTTAGCTTGATCTGACCCTCACTGTAGACGCAACGAGGTTGATGGAAGAATTCTTCTGTCCACCTAGCTACTCCCTTGCAGAGAGGTGAATTAATTACAGTGATGGGAAAACTCTTCCATAGGAAGCACCCACAACGCTGTAGTTTGGACACACCCTCTGGAAGTAGTCAGATGCTTTGTATGAATAGCTGCAGCCTACAAGTGGTTACCACACACACAACCTCCATTCATGCATTCCTGGGTCTCAGATTTCCCCAAGCTGCTTCTATTCTGATGTACTCCAGTATGTTAACAATGAGTATATTCACAGGGGTCTAGCCTCTGCCCGGAGGAACTAGCTGCGGGTTCTCCATCTGATGGTACAGGCATCACTGTCCTGGGATCCGGTGATGGAGCTAGCCCCAGAAGATGACTGCAGTTTGGTGATATCTAGCAAGAGGCTGGCAGCATTGTCTCTGGTGGGCTCTAGAGATGCTGAGGTTTCAGTGGAGCTGTCTCAGGAGGTGCCTGTCTGAGGTTGCTAGCACTTTAGTACCACCTCAAATAACTGCATTAAGGGGAATTTCCCAAGATAGCGTTGCGATTATCTTCATATGGGCTTGATGCAGGGAATCAATCTCTGGCCTTGGCTATGCAGAAGATCAGACTAGATGATCATAACAGACTCTTCTGGGCTTAAAATCTGAGTCTGTATTTAGGAGGGCCTCTCCTTGGCTGACCTCTTTCTGACTCTTCACTTATATCACTAGCTGCAGCACCGGGTGTTAGAGATGGATCCAAGCCCCAGTCTGGGATCCAGGTGTCCCTGAACCACTCAGATCCAGATTAGAACTTTCTGACCGGCCCCTAACTGTGTAATAGGCCAAACTAAAACCCTGGGACCAAATTCTGGGCCCTTTCAGATCTGGCCCCCCATGCCCATCTCACAATGCCCCTTTCCTTTAAACTCTACATCCATTTCTGCCATGAGCTAGCAAGTCACTTCACCTCCCTGTGCCTCAATTTCCTCACCTGTCAAATGGGATTAATGATACTGACCTCCTCTGTAAAGTGCTTTGAGGTCTCTAGATGAAAAGTGCTGTATAAAAGCTAGGAATTATTATTATTCTGTCCCCAAACCAAACAACCGCAGGCTCCTTTCCATCACACAGATGAGTAACACTGGCTCCAGTGCTTGCTTCAACTCTTTCCTTAGTCTCCTATGAAGGCTGCCACCAGGGGACACCACTAGCTTCTCCCCAGAACCCATCCCGCCTCAGAATGTGCTTTCCAGCGAACTCTGTAGCTGTGGCAGGCTGGGTGACAAAGTACATCCTGGTGGAGTCCCCGCATATGAGCGCTGGCTCAGGCACAGTGGAATGTTCCATCTCCCTGTCTGCATCTCCGCTGACGGGACATTCTTCCTCACCCAGCATTACATTTGCAGACTGGCTCGTCCTCTGCAGTGATATTTAATAACCAGAGCAGCGAGGCTGCGTGGATTCCTGTCCAGATGTGTGTTTGTAGCTCTGAGCGCCAGTTTCTCCTGTTGCTTTCGATCATCACTTGCACTCACTTCATTTTGCACATTCCTGCGGGCATTCCTGCAAGCCAACTTTTCTGGCTTTCCAACATGAGACTGAAACCACAGGCCAACGCCTCTGGGGAGAGTTAACCCTGCTGATGTAAAGGGGGTGCCAGGGGAAAGACTGGGCTGCTCCAGGCTGTATGCCGAGGTCTCCTTCCATTCAGCGAAGGGATAAGTTATCCGCTCCAGTCTAGTCCCTATGCACATCCTGGGGATGCCAGTGGTAGAAACCCTTTAGCTGGATTGAAAGGTGCTATATAAGTGCAAGATGGTGCTGTTATTAAAAGAAAGACATTGAATAAGAAGGCCAAGGCTTAAACTTTGTTTGCAGAGTTGTTGTAGCCATGTTGGTCCCAGGATATGAGAGAGACAAGGTGGATGAGGTGTAGCATCCTTTATTGGATGAACTTTTGTTGTTGAAAGAGACAAGCTTTTGAGCCACACAGAGTTCTTCTTCAGGTCTGGGAAATTTAAGTATCACAGCTAAATACTATACAAGATGGAACAGCTTGGTAAGCATAAGAATTTAACAGGTTGCAAGAGACCATTCAAGATGAAGTGGGCAATTAACACCTCTACAGTCACAGAACAAAAGAGGGTTAATGAGTTACAGATTTTTGTAATGAGACATAAATTCCGTGTCCATGACTTTTAGCATCTTGCAAAGTTATGAATGTAAGCTCCCAGACTTGTCTTTGGATGGTGGTGTGCAGGTTTGAGGACAAGGACTGAGAGGTCACCTATAGAGTGGTCGTTTTGTGAAAAGTATTCACCCATAGGTGACAGGGTGTGTTTGTCTTTTTTATGATTTTTCTGTGTGAGTTCATTCGAGAGCATAGTGATTGTCTGGTTTCATCCACGTAGTTGTTGAGGCATTTGATGCAACAGATGAGGTACACCCCAAGTTGTGATAGGCATATGAAGGACCCAGGGATCGGGGAGCGGGGGGGGTGTTTATCATTGCAGCAGTAGAGATATGTCTGCAGGTTTTGCATCTGTTGTTATGACAGGGTCTAGTGCTGCTTTGACTTGGTGTGTCTTGGTCTGTGGGAAGCTTGCTTCTGATAGTGAGCTTGGTGAGTCTGCGGGGTTTGAAGCCAGAGGAGCGGGTTTAGAGAAGATTTCTTTCAGGATGTGGTCCCCATCAATTATGGGGTTGTAATTGTTTGACGATACCCTGTATGGGCTCCAGAAATTGGTCCAATAAAAGATATTATGGGGGTGGAATGTGGCAGAAGTTTAACAGCAGACACTACAGGAATGCTTCTTGGCCTTCTAGGAAAAGAAGTAAAGATGACTTTCATAGCCACCTGAAAACACAGGCGGACTTCAGGGAGACAGACTTGTATCTAGGTCCTGTACAACGCCGACCATTTCAGAAAATGAAATGATTGCTAGAGAAAGATTGGTTAGAATGTAATTATCCAGACTGGAATTTGCCCTGGACGCTGGGATTAACCACCCTCCTCTAGGCCAAAATACCACAATGGGATATTTAAACTGCCCAAATGGCTGTGGCCCCTCAGTTTTCCAAAGCTGGCACTTCAGCAGCACATGCTCTATAGCACCAGGCTGGGTTTGTTACGGAGATAGAAGAAGGAACACCCACACTATGTAAGCATCTCTTGGCAATCTTCCAATCCAAGTACCAACCTGACCTGCCCCTGCTCGGCTTGTACAGTCCCAGGTGAAACTATTAGGAGGGAGGCAAAGATCACTGTGCTTTGTGGAAAGGACCTTGCAGAAATGACCCTGCCCACCCCTCGTTCCCTTACCTGAACCCTGGCTTCTGTTAGGTCCGTCCTTAGTGCCAGCTGCTCCCTGGCATACACATCGGGGTAATGGGTTTTCTGGAAGACCTTCTCCAGTTCTTCCAGTTGGAAGGTGCTGAAGGTCGTCCTGTTCCTCCTCTTCTTGTTCTTGTTCTTGGATAGCTCCATGGTGTCGGTGAGCTCAGGGGAGATGTGCTCCCTCAAGCTGCCCAGAGACGCAGCCGGGGAGCAGCTGAGATCAGGGGCTTCTTCCAGCGGGGCTCTGCAGTCTGTGGGCACAGGGTGGTACTCCTGCCCTTTGGCGCTTTTCTCTCTGGCTGCAGTGGGAACACACAGAGCAGTGGGTTAAACAATCACAGAGCCATACTGTTGCCTGCTGCCCCCACCCCTCAAGCGTTGCTCTCTATGGATGTTCTAAACTATTCCGGACCCGGGAGCTTGGCTGGTGGCTCTGAATAGATTAATGCAGCATGCGTTTTTCCAAGTTCCCCATTAAACACTGAAACAGCACCACGGGTCTGGGGTGGGTGCCAAGAGATTAGGGCCTGTATTTCTGGGGGGAAATCTCCTCTGTGCCCCGTCAGGCAAGAATTAAGCACTCCTGGCAACTGAATGGCTCAGCCTTGGGGTGGGGAAGGCAGGGCTGGTGGATGAAATCACTAAAAGGGGGAAGACACACAAGGACAAAGAGTGGGTCCAAATCCATCTTGCCAACGATTGCAGTATACCCAGAGGGGAAAGACTACACCTCTGCTGGGGTATAGATGAAAGCTCAGAGCCAGCGAGTGGGGCCTGGGTTTTCTCCTGGGGGAAGCCATTGAAGGGCTAGGTTTTACAACACCTTTTAGCGTAGTAGCCAGGGACTCAGGAGACCAGCGCTCAGTTCTCTGCTCTGCTACTGACCTCTGTGTGTGACCTTGGGCAAGTCAATCAACCCTGTGTCTCAGTTCCCCTTCTGTCAAATAGAGATAATAGCCCTTAAAGAGTGTGAGGCACTTGGGTACTAATGTGATGGGGGCCACGTATGTACCTAAAACAGAGGGACAGTCTGTTACCTGCATTGGTTGCATTGGCCTAGAGCATGGTACATGTGTATCTCCTGTCAATTTAACAGATGGGATTAGAATTGGAAAAAGTACAGAGAAGTGCAACAGAAATGATTAGGGGATGGAAAAAGCTTCCACGTGAGGAGAGATTAAAAAGACTGGGACTGTTCAGCTTAGAAAAGAAACGACTCAGTGGAGGATATGAGAGAGGTCTATAAAATCAGGAATGGTGTGGAAAGAGTGAATGGGAAAGTGTTATTTATCCTGTCACATAACACATGAACCAGGGGTCCCCCAATGAAATTAATAGGCTGCAGGTTTAAAAGGAAGTGCAATTCTTCACGCAACGCACAATCACTCTGTGAAAGTTGTTGCCGGGGGATGCTGTAAAGGCCAAAAGTATAACTGGATTAAAAAAAGAATTAGATATGTTCATGGAGGATCGGTCCATCAATGGCTATTAGCCAGGATGGGCAGGGATGCAACGCCATGCTCTGAATGTCCTTAGCCTCTTGTTTGCCAGAAGCTGGGAGTGGACCACAGGATGGATCACTATAATTGCCCTGTCTGTTCATTCCCTCTGAAGCACCTGGTGATGGCCACAGACAGAAGACAGGATACTGGGCTAGATGGACCATAGGTCTGACCTAGTACGGCTGTTCTTATGATTATAGGACAATTATTGATGCTGTTGTGATCCCCTTGCCTCCAACAAGAATTGAGGGCACACAGAACCATTCATTCTAGGGCTTGCCCAGCTGTGTGCTGCTGCAGGGGTCTCTGAGTCTTTAGCAGTGGGATGGGTGAGGGATACTGAAGCAGGAGGCCAGGGGTGTGAAATGAAGAGTAAAGAGGGGGGTAGGTGAGATGAATGGAGGCTAGGGAGCAGGATGAATTAGGCAGAGTGCACCTGCAGGGCCAGATCCTCAGTGGGTGTAAACCAGCAATAGTTTCAATGGAGCTGCACTTATTTACACCCACTGAGGATCTGTCCTGAAGCACGGGCAAGATGAGATTGTCCCAGCATGCCTACTGAGCTTCCCCTCACCCTTTCTCCATCTCCAGACCAGCTGGACACAATATCTGTCTCGCCACCGATGGAGCAGTATCTTGCCTGGTGTGGCGGCAAACAGACATGCTGCACAACCCTGGTGCGTGGAGATGACTCCGTTCTTGCACGCCCTGGGTTTGCAGCTCCTGAACTACCGCCATTGAAAATGTGCTGGAGGCCAGGGGCTCCCCAAAGATCTAAATCTTTCTCCAGAGACTATTTGGAAAGAACTCCCCAGTGAAAGCCATCCCACCGCCTTTGAACAGCACCGCCCAGGGCAACCATTTCCCAGCCCGAATCAATTGTTTGAGGAATTGCCTTATAGAAAACAGCCCGTGGGGAATCTAGGGCAATATGTTTGTGTTGCGTTTTTCTCCCCACCCCCTGTCTGGAATTTGTACTGAAATGTGTTGGAGGGAATAAATCAGAGCACATTCTGAAAGAGGAACTCGGGCTGCCTTTTCCAGCCGCAAGCCAGGAGCGTTCTCTTTCACACAGATTTGGCTGCCGACGGTGACAAGCAGAACACAAGAGGGAACCGCACCAGTGGAGAAGGTCTTCTGGGGCCAGCTCCTCGGCGGGTGGAAATTGGCTTCGTAGCCATCAGTGGAATGTTGTTGATTTTCGCCAGCCGAGGCCCTGGCTCTTGGTTAAAGGCAAAAGTCTAAAATACCAGCGTGAAGGAGGCTGCAAAGGGGGCAGCAACCAGCCCTGCCCATTCCAGGGAAAGGCTGGTGTGTTGAAGAGTCAGGCCTGGAATGTTCTGGGTGCTGAATCTCGACGACTCCTCAATCCCTACACTGTTACCAGTGTGGGCAGGCAAAGCTTTCCCAGGTTATTCGGGGCTCTCAGTGGGGCCCAGCCTGAAGCTGCAATGCCAGCCCATTTAACCCACTTGGTGCCCTGTTTCATCAAGCTCTTCAGTGGCTGAGATATTTTACCCCATCAATGCCCCAGGGGAAAGGAGTTGCTAGGAAACTGCTTTCCTCTCTGCTGCTTTCCTCACACCTGGTTCAACTCACCTGCAGGCTATGACTTTCAGCAGGTGAAAATGGGGTAAAGGGGCCCAGGGGAGGAAGAGGCAGATGTGGAACCCATGGAAATTAGGGCTGGGGATACACAGAGGAAGCCCTGGGGCTGAAGTTCCTGTCCTGGTTTCATTCTAGGGAATGATTTCCCTTCCTAACGGGATCCAGCCTTCTGGGGTTTCCTCTCCACACCATGGTCTCTTTCTCCAGCAGACAGGGCACCAGGGCACAGAGTTTTAACTGGCCTGTGCTTGCTTTCTTGAATTGGGCTGATCCTGCACCACTGGGGGCAAATGGGGATTTGGGTCGTGGGCTTCAGTGATGGCAGGATCGGGCCCAATATTCTTTGCTTATCTGGGTCTCATATAGGTTGAATGGGATGGACCCTGGCTCTTGTATAGACTGTATGGGATGGATCCTGTATGGATTGAATGGGAAGGACCCTGGATCCTGTATAGACTGTGTGGGACGGATCCGGTACACAGGGTCTGGTCTGGTGCCTAGTTCCTTCCTTGCGGACTATCACTATTCTGTCCCAGTGGTTTGTTTTTTAGCTGGGCTCACATAGGACTCAGCCAAGGGAGGGGGTTCTGCAGGGTGGCCGCTGGCGCTAGGGTTAGCCGCAGAACGGTCTGTCTGAGCAGCTGGGAGCGAAGGGGCTGGAGAGAAAGTTCCTTTCAAATACCTGCTGGAAAGTGATGCCTTTAACTCTGAACCATCTAAGCAGAAAGTTTACCTTGAAATATTGCACGAGATTCATTTGAATTGACCCATTGTAGCCTCTTTCTGTCTTTTCTTGCCTCTCTTCCCTTTTCCCTTCCCTTCTTTCCCCCTCCCATCGCTTCTCTCTTCCTTTCTTGGCTTGTCAGCCGGCTGGTTTGTTCGTTCCGTTCTCAGCACCCTACCCAAATTCCCATTTCATTCGTCTACCTAATTACAAAACAAGGCCATCCGAGAGTTTCTGGAGAACTAGAATGGCCTTCCAGGGTCCGAATTTACACCAGATCTAGAGTCGGGAACTTGGACCTAAACCTGAAAAGGGAAGGTCGACTCTTTTTTTTAACTTGATATCTTGAATCAATTTACAAAACTCAATCGATCGGAATTCGTGCACGCAACTCTGATAGGAACCCAGCACCTTCCCTTTTTCTCCTTCCTCTTAAACGGTTTCTAATTCGAATCGGCTCCTTCTCTCCCAGGACTAGGAAGTGGGTTTATTTAGGGATTTTTTCCGCTTAATTAAACCAATTTGGGGTTTATCCCAACAGCCGAGTCTGAGTCAGTTTGTTTTGATTAATTCCCACCACGGGAAATGTTTTCTCTGGAGGTAGACAACAAGACACTTTAGAGATCTTTCTCTCTTTTCTCCACAGCTATGTTTATCTAGCTATTTCAAATAAATAGCTACAGATATAGCAATGAAATTAGATACCTGGGATGGATAAAAATAAAAGTAACGGGTTTTCTCCATTTTATTTCCCAAGGTATCGACAGAGGCAAACATTCATGAGACAAAATTTAGCAATGCCCTTAGCTGAGATTCTATTTTTAAATTCAGAACGAGGGGATGACCCCCAACTGTTATGTAAAGAGATAGGAGATTGTTCTGTTGGGCAGGGAAAGATGCTTGGGCTGAACTGATCCCAAAAATTAGGTTCATACGGTGATGCCTCCCCCCACAAAATCTGGTCAACAAAATGATCCCGCCGCTTTTCTTCAGCTGCTTCTCTTTAACACGCATCCCATCTCCAAAACACACCCTCAATCAATCAATCAATCAATCGGCTGAAAGAAAAAGACCGGAAGGAGGAAGGGTAATAAAAAAATCACAGGCGAGAGAAGACGTGGCTAGATCGTGCTAGAGATTTCTCCGTGTGTATTTTGATGGGCTATCTGACCCAGAAAAGACAGATGGGTTGTGAAGCTGGCAGGGTTAGCCGCTGGGGAACAACTGCACAATTGTTGGGTTAAAGTGGAAAAACTCGGAGACCATTATTCAAGGGATGGGGGCAAGAAAGAAACTCTTCCGCCGTGAGGGGCGGGGGGGAATGTGGTCAGCTGCACGGGAAATGTGATACAGGCATGTATAGGCAGCCATCACCCCGGTATCTGGGCGCGTAAGAGACCTGGACCTGCCCAGACCAGCCTGTGGACTAACCATGCATCGAACCTAGTCAATTTCACCTAGTCAT